TTGTAGAAGAAATTGATGAATTAATATAAATGCATTTTTTGGAAAATCACGTGATAAAAATTAAAAATGTCATTTTTTTAATGAAAGTGATAAAAAAAATTTTTGCTTTTTTTTTTTTGAATTTGAAACATTTTGCACAGAATTTGATGTGCTAGAGTGACCCACACCGTACAAACAGATTTTGTGACGATAAATTAAAACAAAGTTTTTCAGTTTTAAAGTTGCCTGCTTCAATCTGCTAAAGGCTAAAAATTTTACTCATGTTAAAACAATAATAGTTCTATGACAAAAGTTCTAAACTTACTAATGGATGAGATACCTGTATATGATTTTCAATCTTATCTTCGTGTTATCCAAATTGGTTGATAAATATCATCTTCATGTCTAGTTTGCTAACTTTTTCCATATAATGAATTGTTAAATTAAAAAAGCAAAACACCTTGCTTTCTAATTGATCCAAAAATTCAGAGTTTCAGATATATTGATAATCCAAGGATATTCCTTCTACCAATTTACTGACCCATCATTCATCATTATCTTAAATGTGTTGAAATATAATGATAATATAATAGTTGTCGAATTATATTCAAAATTATATATCCATTGAAAAAACAAATTTCAATATTTAGAAAATAGTGGCCCTAAATTCACACAACACTAATTAAAAACATACAAAAAAATTTTACAGCAAGATACAGTAGTAAGTTTACTTTGTTATAACCTCTTGTAATTTTTCTGTGAATTTACTATAACTTTTTCCAAAGGAGATTCCATATTTTCATTTCACTCAAATAAAATAAAAAACAACAAGTCCTATATAAAAAAAAAAAAATTCAAAACCAATGAGCAACCAACCTACAACACTTCTACTGCATCAATTAATGACTTGCTTCCGCTGCACCAACAAAACCTAATACTGAAATTATCTAATTTTAATCCTAAAGTAAATGTCTTTTGCAACTCAGTTAAAGACATAATTACAGATTATGACATTCCAGCACTAATATGCTAGATTCCATTTCTGGTTTCTCTAATTACTATTCTGAAACTAAAAAGAATAGAAATTAGAAAATTATCAAATAAATTCATTGAAGTGCATGTCTATTATGCTGAAAAAGAACAGTTAAATTTCTATTTATATCAAGATTTTTGGTAGGTCTTGATATGATATTATTAACTGTAAATTTTTCATAATGAATGATCACGATCAATATTTTATATGCAGGCCATTGAAGAAAAACTTCAGGATCAAATAATGTTGAGGGTGTTGGTCAATAAGTTTTAGAGAGACTTACATACAGAAACTGTTTTAATAGCATTACATTAAGAAATATAAGAGAAGGGCAAATATTCTAAAATGAAAAATTGAATACACTGACTTTATTATAAAAGAATAAAAAAATATTATTTTTAAAGAAACGCAGATTTAATTTTTATAATTAAAGGTATTTGCCAATTGAAAAGTTTATATACAGTCAAACCTCGTCACAGCGGACCTCGCCACAGCGGATTTCTTGTTACAACGGATTTAAATATTGGCCCCT